TGACGAAAAGAAGTGTTGGAGTTGCTCTACACAATCAACCGTATTTAATACCAATTGTTGTGGTGGAAATGCAAAATAAACAATGTTGTTCAAGGAATACATAAGCAATCACGAAGAATAAAAAAAATCACTCACAAGAACACAAGATATACATGGTTTACCCAAATCTTAAGGTTACGTCTATGGAGCACACCGAATAAATTCACTATGAATAAGATGAAGAATTACAATGGAGAAATCTCTCTCAATTGCTCTCTTTTGTATTGACACAAATTAATCAATCACACAACACGTATGATAATCCTCTCTTTTTTCTTCTTTCTATTTTTACTACACACCCTAAAAATTGATTAGGGTTGATATTTATAGCCCCAAATAATTTGTCCTACAAGAAATTTACTTTTGTAGAATCCAAAATCCAGTAAGGAAGTTAAAACAGATCAGGAAATTGAATTTTCCCTAACATTCAGCAGTTATGAAGTTTCCATATAATTAAATCTTCCTAAAAATCTTTCACCTAATCTGACTCCACAAAATCACAACAGGAAGTGGCGGTGGTAGTAGTGTGGTGGTGATAGAAGGAGATAGTGGTGTAGGTGGTGGCAGTGGAATGCAGTGGAGGTGGCTGTGGTGGTGGAAGGTGGTGGTGGTGGTGGTGAAAGTTAGTGGTTGCAGTGGTGGAAGGAGGTGGCGGTGGTGAAAGTCAGTGGCAGCAGTGGTGGTGGTGGAAGGCAGTGGTGGTGGTGGTGGTGGGAAGATGATAGCGGTGGTGATGGAAGGCAACGATAGTGGAAGGCAGTAGAAATGACGGCGGTCGAAGGCAATGGAGGTGGTGGTGGTGAAATGCGGAAGTGGTTGTGGTGGAAGGTTATGGTGGAAGGCAATGGTGTTGGTGGTGGTGGTTTTTAGACTTAGAGTAGGAAAATGAGGATTTTTTGAAAAGTTGATTTTATTGAAAAAATTACTTGGGAATGAAATAGACATTCCATATGTATAGTTATGGAATGGATTTTCATTCTAATGGAATGACCATTCCCTTTTAAAATTGCATATCAAACAAAAAAATGGACGGAATGGATATTCCATTCCATTCCATTACTGCACACCAAAAGCAACATAAGAGTATACATCAATTTATACATCCACAATCATTTAATACAATGAATAATACATCATTTAAATAATATATAAACATAAAATCACAATACTATCATTAAAATAAATAATTCATCAATTTGAACAACATAGATATTAACAATGTGCTTAAAATTTAAACAACACAATAATCTCAACATTGAACAAAAATAAATAATAAAATTAAGGAAAAACAACAGTAATAAACTAAGTAGGAAATAGCTGGATAATGATGAGGCATGCAAGCACTATCCTAAAGTCATATGGCCTTCTTGCGTGCATGTAATAGCGGTCTTTTAAGATACCACCCATATCCGCCAATGCTTATCTTCAGGCAAGTCCGAAGAGAGACAAAATTATACTAGTCTTGTCTTCAAAGTTTTTCCAAAACACATTATAAAATATTCTCATACATGTGTAATAGTATCTCAAGAATTAAGAAGATAGAGAGTTATAGTTTTTTTTTCTAATAATAGGCTCACAGCCTTGCACTACTCAATTATCTACCGCAAAGCATTGTATAGACCCTTACTATAACCTTACAACTCGAACCTCTTCTGTATCATCAATACATAATTATAATTAAAATAATGATGTTAATAAGTATAATAATAATAAAAATGGTAATATTAACCATTTAATAATAATATGATTTTTATTAAATAGGAGTAACAATAAGGAGTGAAAATTGGACAATATATGAAGAGAAAAAAAATTAAGGTAAAAAAAAATTCCCTTTTTTTTTTCACCTTAAAATTGAATTAATGTCTTTCTTGCAATTCTCAAGTTGCTAAAAAGGTGACCTTGTATGTAAAATTTATCAAAGCATGCACAATAGAAGATAGAGTCCATAAAATGAGAAAAATAATAATAAAAAAACAAATAATTGATAGTAGGAATGACTTATTTATAATAAAATTAAGTTTGTTATTTAGCTCGTTTTATAGACCTCAACAATGCCAAAAAACATAATTATTCATTAGATTCATAGTAAATGTGTGACAAATTTTGTTTTATTACAAATTTCATTCATGAGGCTATTGCGACTTAGAATTTTAAGCATATGATGAAAACATTTTGATCACAAATTTCATTCATGTGGCTATTGTGACTTACAATTTTAAGCATATGGTGAAAACATTTTGTTTGTCTCATTGGATATGATTGCTATGGAGTTGACGATTCGATAAACATTTTATTTTGTTCTATTAATGATGAGATGAAATTAATGACTTTTGTTAGAGCACAATGTATTGTTTTTACATCAAATGTTAGGATTAAATTTGATTATATTGAATAGTTTATTTGTATGTATTTCAAAAAGAGTTATATAAAAAACAAGTTAAACCGGTTTATGTTGCTAAACAGTCCAAAAAATAAAAAATAATACTCTCGACAAAATTGTTATTTGAGTAGTAGAAGAGTTTCAGCAAATGGTTTGCCAAACACGCTGAAAACTCTTCTGTCATTAAAGCTCTTAAAAAATACAGTTCCTAAACACTAACACACAAGCCAAATTGAAGTGATATATTTTGCTTTTCTTTTTCTTCTTCATAAAAGTATAAACAAAAGTTATGCCAAACGGACCATAAATCATGTCTAATTCAATTTGAATCTAGTTCGAATAATCCGAATCCAAGTTGATTTATTAAACTCAGATTAATGTTATTTAGATTTGTAACTGGACTTAAATAAAAACTTTTACACCTTGGTTAAGCTCTGAATAAATCCTTGAGCAATCACCTATATGCAAAACAAAATCGGATGAAAAATTCTTATTGAATGAAAGGTGAATTCATATATGTTAGGTAGCGCTTCATACTCACAATGTCCTCGTTGTGATCAGGCCACCCTGTTTATGAAGGACAAGACTTGAACACCTCCAGGGAGAGTGCCTGGCATGACATCGGATCAAGGACAGGGTTGAATGCTTGCTCTTTGACCTAAAAGCTTAAGCTATTGCATACTATTAGAATTTTGAATGAAAATTCTTTCATCAGTAATCAATATATGCCTTTAATTGAACAGGTGGGATCATTGGTTAGTTGTGGGATGAAAAGATGCAAATCAAAACTAAGAGACATAACCTATTCAATATGAACCTTTGTAACTTATTGTAAAGGTTGTGTCTAATGTGAAGAGACACATATAAATGGTTTGTATCCAATGTGAAGAGATACGGATAAATAGTTGTGTCAAGTGATGAAGAGATACACATGAATGATTGTGATACCCCTCGATTCTAGAGCCACGGGTGATCAAGTCCGAGCACAGATCCGAGGGATATTAAACAATTAATATTTAATCGAACATAGAATACAAAATGAATTTAAGAAATAATAATAAACTGAAGGAATACTAAATTAAAAATCCTCAAATATAAATATTTAAACTCTGACAATCCAAACTTCATAAGTTTACAACTCGGGAATCCATTTCCAGTGGACCCCTAATAAAAATCCAAACCGAACGAAATTAAATAACTGAAGATAAAAGCCCAAATCGAATATCTGGAAAGAAGTCCTACATCGTCGGTAGAATGAAAGATCGTCTCTGCTCAGCTCGAACAAGCTCTAAGACCTCAAACATCCAATACTTGAAAAATAATAAGTGGGTCAGGCCCACTAGCAAGTTCTATACTATTACTACCCAAGCAGAGACCCGATACGCATGTACATCCTAACCAATACAACAATAACTAAATAGTCCGTAGATACATATATATATAATCACACTACAGGACTCTCACTGGACTACAGGCCCGTCTCAACCTGACTAGTAGGCACCATGCAAAACGCACCTGAGGTGGGCATGACTACCTAGACCTAGCAGGGTACACATCCAACCATCATAACCAGTTATGCATCCCAATGCATATATGCTCCCTAGCCAACGACTCTGAGACTCAGGCTCATATCGTGGCACCATAAAAATATATTTAAAATCCGTTCCAAACCAAAAGTGTCACTCAACTATTTAGTGATCTGACACAAAATACAGGCAGGACTTAACTTTTGTAGTTAATCCATCCCTTAATCCAGAGTAGGTAGAACTTAGCGTTTTTGAGCTAATCCCCCTAATATGTCACCGTCCCATACCGGTGCATACAAACCATCCATCCAATGTTGATAATACAAATAATGAGATAAAATCAATATCAACCAACCAATAACAAGTATAACACCATCCATCCAACTGTTAATAATACAGATGATATTATAAATATCAATATCCACACATCTATAACAAGTACAATAAGAATATATAAATTGCAAGCTTGTCATATATGAACAACACATGATTCTCTAACAGTTTAAGAACGCAGATAATAAGTGTAATCCATTCTTTAATCCCCTATCAACATACTAATATCAATATCAAAATTAACATGCTCGTTTAAACCACTCCATATCATCCGGTTAGTTGATTATACATAATGACTTGTAAACATCAACTAATTTCCTGTTAAGCATAACCGACATTATATAAATTGTGATGCTTAATCCTATACCACTGTCATATGATTTAAACATAAAATTCCTAGTTCAAATGCTAATTTTAAAACAAGCAACTTGAATTATCCGCATCACAGTAATATTGATCTCTTTCGTAAGAGCTTCTGGTTGTTCCTTCTTTTACCTTCTTATGGAAGATTATGAATTACCAAGCCTTCTGAAAATTTAACACAGGTTTAGACCCTTCTGAATACCTTTAGAAACACTCTATTTTCAGCCTAGAATGTCAAGAATTCAATCCCCGTAGCCCAGGTCTCGCAGAAACTTAAAACTGGAAGCAAAAATCAAAGGAGCCGGCTCCGCAAAAGGTGGAGCCGCCTCCAAAACAAGGTAGAGCCGGCTCCCCTATGATGGAGCCGCCTCTAGACTCCCATAGAGCCGGCTCTACCCTTTTGTCGAGCCTGCTCTACTCTAATTAGAGCAGGCTCTTCCCCTGTGCGTCTTCGTTTCCAATTTCAGCGATGTCCGGCAACTGTATTCCTCAACCCAAGTTTATTATTGATTAAAACTCAGTCCTAGAGTGTTCCAAAGTTAATTAAATTCATTGTTCATTAATCAAAACTAATCGGAACAAGAATTTTTCCAAACAGATTTAAAACAAGCCAAAAACCCAATCGGTAACACACACGATGTTGAACAATTTCTATGCAACCAAAAATTAATTTAACGGTTTACTTCCACCTGGGATTGTATTAACAATGCATAGAAACATCTTCCAGAACTATTTAAACTCATTAGACATTAATCAATTATCATTAGAATAAGAGTTATGCAAAACCGTTTAAAAACGAACAAGTTACAGATACAGAAAACACATACTATTTTAAAAACCAAATAACTGTGCAAACCAAGTTAAAACAAATTAAATTAAATTTATTTCATCCTGGAATTTAATTAGGGATGCAAAGAACACAGGCCAAAGAGGTAGAGTTAGTATTAGAACTTGCCTGTGAGATTCGGTTCCAAAAATCTCAACGTCTTCCTTCTAAACTTTTCCGGTAACCTCTTTTTGTTTTCCCCTCTCTGTTTTCTCCTAGATTCCTCTACACATCTCTCTGTTTTCTGTATGCCGTGAATTGGGTTCTCAAACCCTAAACTGAAACCCTACATGTATTTATAGGCCACCTTAAATCTAAGTCCACCTAAATCCTAAACTGAAACTCGGCCCGTAAAACCCAACTAGTTTCTAATATCAATGTCGGCTACTTATATATATACCATACATGCAACCAACCCTACAGTCACGTTAAGTTTAGAAAACAATTATATTTAATAAAATAAATACATTTAAATAATTCATCAGTTAAACTTAAATCAATTAAAACAACCCTCTAATTAAGTTAATTAAAACAACCAAATAATTACTATAATTACACTAACTAAAATAGAACAATTTAAATAAGTAAATTCAATTTAACTCATAACAAAAAACCCCAACAAAGAAAACAAGTAAATAATAAACCACAATTAAAACAATAAAATTAACACATATGCACGTCAACAAGTAAAAATGCATTAGAAACAATAAAATAAATACCAGGACTATCCCTTTAAAATTAGGGGTATTACAATGATTGTGTCCAATGATGAAGAGACGCACTCAATCCGAAAATACACATCTATTTCTATAAATACCCCCTTGGGCTGTCATTTGCAAATAATTCAATTCATTTTTCTTCTCTCTCCCTCTCTAGACTTGAACCCAACCTAAGTGGGTTCAAACCATAGGTCAAGTGGTCCGAGCTACTTAGACCTTAATTTAATTTCATCGAGCCATATTAAGATTGGTCTGAAGCATTAGGTTCGGATTGCACTCAATTCAACATTTATATAGTATAGATGCATTTTTGAGTCAGAGAGAGTATTACACGGAGGAGGTTCGTCGTATCCATTAATTTGTAGTGCTGCTATTGGTGGATGTAAACCGTTGTATCCTGGGAGATAGACATCACTGAGTCCGTTAGCACCATAGTGAGGCGAATCTGTCTTAAGGACATAGTATTCAATACTAGCCTCGGTCCAGATTCTTTATTTATTATTATTATTTTACTGCTTTAATTTGTATGTTTAATTAAATATCGAGTTGAATATTTAATTAATTATGTTTAGCATATTATTATCTCATGACATATTAGTATAAAGTTAGTTATATCTTAAATGTCATTTGAAACATATATTTTACCAACATATATAGATGTGTATCAATCCATATATGGCTATTTCACCTCCTATATGTATTGATGTGGGACATCTCTAACATTAAATTGTAACTTAGGCGGGTTAAATATATAACTCAAGCTCAATGAAAATGTTCAATCATATCCCAACTTTAATGCGACCTTCAACCCAAGCCTTTAAATTTTTTAGCTAGGGTTGAGATTTTGGATTGGAACACTGACTATATCACGTAAACATCCAGTATTATACTAGTTTTATGAAACTTGTACATTACTTTATCATTCTTTTACCTCTAGACATAATTGATGTAAAAAGCTTTCACAATTGAAACAGTTATAGATATATATATATATATATATATACACACACGAAAATGATCTCTTACTCACTAGTGATCATTGAATGATATATCATTAGATTTGAGTGCTATGTATTTTTGGTAATTACTTTTTTTACATTTAATGATCATGTGCAAAGTGTGGATGAATTTCTTACTTAACCGTGTATGTTATACTTAAAAAAAATATATATATAAAAAGTAAAATTATTTTTGGATTTGGGTTTAACTTTGCTGACATCTCAACTGAAGTCCAACCATAATTATGAAATGATTGTCCATAAAAAGTTGGGCTAGAATTGGATTTGGATTGGCCCTGCAGTGGGTGGATGGGATTGGGCTTGAGTAACAATGTCATATTATTACGAGATTTCTCTCTTTAGAATTCCTTGTTTGTGAGCCTCCCATTCCTCCAAACAATTTAAAAAACGACGAGACCTTATACCGACATAAATGGCGACTGGTGGTGGAAAGGTCTCGTTCAAGGTCACTCTCACCTCCGATCCAAAGCTCCCCTTCAAAGTGTTAGTAATTTCTTCTTCAAAATTTTCCTTTTTCTAGGGTTTCCATCTGTTGTGCTCAACACCTTCAGTTGATTTGACTCTCATTTTTTTTTTTTTTTTTTTTTTGTTCTTAATTTTCTTTTCAGTTTTAGCGTTCCAGAAGGAGCTCCATTCACTGCTGTTGTCAAATTCGCGGCCGAAGAATTCAAAGTCCCTCCCCAAACCAGCGCCGTCATCACCAACGGTACTCCCTTTCCTCCCCTATCGCTATGCATATATGTACACGTTTGAATGTTTTTGCATCATGTTAACGATTTGTTGTGAAGTTGATACACAAGGCAAAGAACTTTAAAGGATGCTGTTTTGTTTTTTTGTTTTTTGTTTTTTTTGTTTTTTTGTTTTTTTCATATTCAAATATTATGGATTAATTGTATGTTGTAATACTTATCAAAAAAAAAAAAAAAAAATTGTCTGTTGTAATAACATTACTAATTAACCCATAAAAGAAGTCTAGAAAAAGAAGAGAGGATGATAACAAGTGTGAAGGATTTCAGAAGAGTAAGTATGGCGTAGGAAATGAGAAGTAATTGTAGTAGAAGTTTGTCATAGTGTCATATTATCATGTAATTTTGGTCAATATATTAATTGAAAAGAACAAATATTTGAGGGAGCGTTTATGTTTATTCATATAGAATAAAAACTTTTCATATAGAATAAAAACTTATAGTGAAGTAAAGATGAGAGGAATCTAATGACATTACCTATGTGGGTACTTCTGAATGGATCTATTTTACGTGGGTCTTTGGCGACTGTCCTAAAAGGTTAAGAGTTGAGCTGGCCTTGGATTAATTATTATTTGCTGTTTGATTTTTGTAAGTTGCATTTGGGTTAGTTCATTTAAAATTGTGGCGATCTTTCAGGTTTTGAAATTTTAACATATGAAACTTTGATACGACTTACGAGTGGCTTATACGAGTGAGCTATGCAGAAAGGATCATGAAACCTTAGAAGATAGAGCAAATCACTACAATCAGTCTATCATTGAATTCTATAAGCAGTGAACAAATGAACCTAAACAAAGTTTCTACATATTGAGAAATCATAATAAATTGCATAGTAGGCTATTTCTTATTACAACTTAGTTGATACAATATGATCTATAGTTCTCTGCACCATTAATTTTTCTTCTCTCTTGGTAGGGGAAGGAGTTGGAGTGGGAATTGAGATATCAAATTCTATATATTTTTCATTTTGTTCTTTCTTTGTGGGTTGGGATGCAGGGAGAATAGTATTAGTACACCTGATAGAGGAAAGAACATAAAGCAAAGAATGGTGCTAGCCCATTCTTCTTCTTCCTCCTTTTCTTTTTATAGTTTTCAGAAACCTGGAAATCAGAAAACTGCACAAAAATCTGCTTGGTTGACAGTTCTTAAAAACTCAAATAAAAAAGGTCTGTTTTCAAGAATTGTCTTTTATAGTTCTCCAGTTTTTGTTTTTTGAGTTTCTGAGAACTGCTCTTAGAAAACTGAACTAAACAGGCCATAATTTTTTGTGACGCAAGTAGAATGTTTAAAATTGAAAATGCATTGTTGTAAAAAGTAGGAGTAGAATGGGTCGTCATCGGTAACTGCTTTCTGTCTCCCAATTTTGGGGGAAAACAAAATCGGTTTTCAAGTGGTTAGGAACTCTATTTTCTTTCTTTCCTCATTCTCAAATAGTCGTCCTTTCCTTTCCTTTATTTACCGTGCAAATCTTCCATTTCACAAGCTATAAGGAGCCAAGACAAATAATGTGGCCATAGGAATGGGGAGCTTGGTAGGAAATCTCCCTCCAGATTTTATTGAGTAAGATAAAATATCATGTCTTATATGATTGCAGAAGGTGTGATCAATGTATGCATCTAAAATTAAAAAGGAAACTTTATGATACTTTGACCATTTATGGTTGATGGGTCACAATGATTAAGAAATAAAATATTCTTATAATAAGCATGTTTTAAAGAAAATATCAAAATGGATATACAATGAGAAGAGCGGCAATCAAAATCCCTTTGATAACAATAGTGACGAATCACAATTCCTAAGATTGGGATTTTTGTTGTCTTGTATAAGTAAGAGTGGGTTAAAGTCGGTTTTGAGTAGATAGTAGAGTTGCAAACTGGATTTTCTAAAGATGTAGTACAAGAAAGAGAGATGGAGTTGTCTTATTTCACTTAAATAAGAATACACACTCTTTGTGAATAAGAGACCTTTATCGTCTTGGAAAGGGGAGCAGGAGGTCAAGAATCTTATCTTTTATGTCAACTATGAAGGGAAGAGAGGGGCGGTGAGGGAGAGGGGAAGGACTAGAAGTAGGAGTGGAAGGAGGGGAGATAATTTTATCTGGTTCTTAATGAAGTTATGAAAAGGAGGGTGGTAAAGGTAGCTTTAAGGAAGTGGGGCGCCCAGGTTGTTTGTCTGCAAGAAACCAAGTAGGCATCTATTTCTGATGGGGTTGTTAGGAGTTTTTGGGGAGGAAGGTTTGTGGAATGGGAGGCCCTGAATGTTTCAGGTACCTCTCGTGGAATTTCAGTTATGTGGGATTGCAGATGGTTGTCAGTTGTCTTGGATGGACGTTTGGATGGGGAGGTTCTCTGCATCCTGCGTGTTCAAAATGACGGAGGACAATTTCAGATTTTCACCGGGGTCTATGGACCGATTGTTGAATGTTGATAGTGATCAACCTCTTTTTTGGGAGGAAATTTGCCGTGTTCAAGGATTATGGTCTCTTCCTTGGTGCCTGGGTGGGGATTTTAATTCTGTTAGGTCTCTGCTAGAGAGGTCGGGGAAGGTGGTCTTCGGATATGACTCAGTTTTTTGATTTTATTAATGGGCATTTTCTCATTGATCTGCCAATGGAAGGTACAACCTTTACTTGGTCTAATGCAATGTTGTTAAAGGCTCAAGGCGCTAAGGCCTCCTGGAGCCTGAGGCGCAAGGCACAAGGCGAAGCGTGCGCCCGACTGAAGTCAGGTGCAAGTTGAGAAAAAAATAAAAAAATGGCACCTAATAAAGATAAAAAAGTCTTGTAAACCAAATACTTAAAGACTCGTTAATAAACATAGCACCATCTTGGTTGTCACTTAAGGACTCATATTTCTCATCATTATTTTCTGTCTCATTTAAATCTGTAGCAAAAATTTTCATAGGCCACAGTCCACACGCCATAGCAAAAAATAGCAGACAATTCATAGCAAATAATAGCAGGAATTTTCACAGGCCATAAGATAAAATAACAAGCATTTTAATAGTTAACATAGCAGGCATTTTCATTTTTCATAGTAAAAAAAAAAAAAAGGAAAGAGAAAAATAATATGCATTATACTAATTAGTATGGAATAATTATTAAAGTAGAAAGTAGTAGAGCACAAAGCAGGGGAAAAAAAAAGGGGTTAAAAACTAAAAGAAAACAGAGAAGAAGCAGGAAGCAACAGAACAGAAGAAAAAAAAATCATAGCAGAAAGAGAGAAAACATAACAGAAGAAAAAAGAAGTTAGACTAGAAGAAAATGAAGAAGAATAAGAGGGGTACAAAGACGAAAAAGTGCGGGAGAGAGAAAAAACAGAACAGAAGAAGAAGAACAAGAGAAAAAAGACAGTAGAAGATACGAGTTCATGAAAAGAATAAGAAGCAAGACGCAGAGAGAGAGAAGTGAGAACAGGAGGAGGAAAAAGATAGAAGAAGAAGAGATGGAGAGGAAGAGAATAGAAGAAGCAACAGAAGAAGAACAGAGAAAAAAAAATAGAACAGAAGAAGAACAACAAGAGGAAAAGAGCTTACTTGGTTGCCGGAAAGAGAGAGAGAGTTTGCTAGAGAGAGAGAGAGAGAGCTTGATGAAAAGGCTGCCTCAGACCCAGAGCTCCCAAATGTTTCGTGCAATTGAGCCCTAATTTGGCTTCCTTTACTTTTTTTATAAGGACTTTGCTTTACCTTTTTTGGTGGTAGTGGTAAGGACTACCCACCACTTAAGTTACTTTATGAACACATTAGATTCCTTATTATGTATATGCCAACAAAATGTTTAAAAGGCAAAAATCATAAGAAGAAGAAGAAGGCGCGTCTTTTTAGCGACCTGGGTCTGTCGCCTCGATGCAAAAGTGCGCGCCTTTGTCAACCCGCCTCGCTTTAGCATACCCAAGGCGCTGAAGCTGCGCCTTGATGAGCCTGGTGCCCAAGGCACGCGCCCGGTGTGCCTTTAACAACACTGGTTTAATGGCAGGGACCCAATTACCTTATCAAGGCTGGCTAGGTTTTTAATCTCTGGGAAGTGGGAAGAGAAATTCCCGGATGCTGTTTAGGCGGTTTTAGCAAGGGTCACCTCTGATCATGTTCCTCTGGTTCTGGATTATGGGGGTCTGAGGTCTCGGTGTTCCCCGTTTCGATTTGAGAATATGTGGCTGAGAGCGGAGGACTTTGAAGGGAAAGTTCGGTCTTGGTGGGAGGAAGCAACCAGTGTTGTTAAAGGCGCACTGGGCGCGCGCCTTGGCCGTCGGGCGCATCAAGGCGCAACTTCAGTGCCTTGGGTATGCTAAGGCGAGGCGGGTTGATAAAGGCGCACACCTTTTGCATCGGGGCGACAGGCTTAAGTCGCTAAAAAGGCGCGCCTTCTTCTTCTTCTTTTTATATTTTTGCCTTTTAAACGTTTTGTTGGCATATATATAATAAGGAATCTGATGTGTTCTTAAAGTAACTTAAGTGGTGGGTGGTCCCTACCACTACCACCAAAAAAGGTAAAGTAAAGGAAGCCGAATTACGGCTCAATTGCACGAAACATTTGGGAGCTTTGGGTCTGAGGCGGCCTCTTCGTCAAGCTCTCTCTCTCTCTCTCTCCCCGGCAAACTCTCTCTCTTTTCGGTAACCAAGTAAGCTCTCTTCCTCTTGTTGTTGTTCTTCTTTTCTTCTTCTGCTGCTTCTTCTTTTCTCCTCTTTCCATCTCTTCTTCTTCTGTCTTTTTCCTCCTCCTGTTCTCACTTCTCTCTCTCTCTCTCTCTCTCTCTCTCTCTCTCTGTCTGTCTTGGTTCTTATTCTTTTTTTGGACTCGTATCTTCTACTGTCTTTTTTCTCTTGTTCTTTTTCTTCTGTTCTATTTGTTCTTTCTCTCCTTCACTTCTTTGTCTCTGTACCCCTCTTATTCTAATTCATCTTCTTCTGGTCTAACTTTTTTTTTCTTCTGTCATGTTTTCTCTCTTTCTGCTCTTATTTTTTT